TGAGCCAGAGGCGACGCACCGCCGGTCTGTGTCACAGCTAATATAGCCGCCATTGTTCCAGGCAGAGAAAGGATAGAGAAGCTCCGCCCACCACGCATCAGACCCACTTTCTCACCGCGCAGCTAGAGCAGCAAAGATGGGTGGACCAGACGCCTTCTTTTTCCCGGACATGTCGTACTTTTCAGACCTAAAAATGTCCGGGGGGGGGGGGATTTCTAAATGGTGCCGGGTTTTGGTCGACTGCAGTGCAGCGACTAAACCCGGCCCCCCTCCTCCGGCTGACCACAGGCGGCTCATGGCTCTTTGCTAAGGTCCGATCCAGTCAGCGGCCCAGCAGTCGACACCCCCCCAATAAAGTGTCCTCCTTTTCAGAAACCAAAATCTGGCCACCCCAGCAATGATGCTTCAGCCGCGCATCAGAACTAAACTTGGACAAGCATCAAACATTAATTTGGTGTAGATGGAAAAATGGCGGGTGTAGATGGGGGGGTGGACTCGTTCAGGTGTACTCGCACAGGGGGGAGGGACAAGCAGCCTACCATGATTGACATGTCAGGATTCAATCGTGTAGAATGGACTGTCTTTTGTGATTGGTTGAGGTTATTTATTGATTTCTCACCATTTATTTGACTTTCACTTCCAGACCTTCTATTTCACGGCTTGCTGGTTTGGCTGTAATTTAGGGACAGATTCTAATAAATCTGCAGGGTGGGGACTATAAATCTGATAGTTTTATTTTTTTATTGCTATTTTGCACATTTTGCTTAACTAAGTATTTTTTGTTGTCGAATATCAGAGATTTTGCAGATATATTTTTTAAACATACATCGTTCAGATTAACTTAATCTTTCTACCCTGATTAGTTCCTGCTCCTGCTGGTTGGCTCCTTTATTCCACTCTGGATTCTCATCACTGTGTCTTTGTTCACTTTACCATAAAAAAACAGAAAAGAAACAGTTGTGAGAAGTTCGGTATTCATTCTTTAACTACTTTGGTTGCTAGGCAACAGAGCGTACGGCGGTGAAAGCAGAGGAAGGATAGACCTGTTTGAATCCACAGCAGAAACTCTTCTGGTCTCTTTATTTTCACGGACCTCAAAGGACCAGGTCCCTGGAGGACCCAGAACCAGCAGAACCACACTGGACCCAGAACCAGCAGAACCACACTGGACCCAGAACCAGCAGAACCACACTGGACCCAGAACCAGCAGAACCACACTGGGAAAGAGAAACCCCCGACTTCAAGTCACATGACTCGGTCCAGCCCTGTCACCTTGGCAGCAGAGCGCTGCTTCTCTGGGCTGTCTCCTTTAGATGATGAGGACATCTGTCTCAGTCGCGACTGTCCGCTGTTTGGCCAATCAGGACTGGATGACATCATACTGCCGGAGGCGGGGCGCGTAGGGTAGGCGGAGCCACCTCCACTGAGCATGCTGGGAGGTGTGCGACCTCGAGGAGGGCCGGGTGGAGCAGAGGCAGGCGGGGGAGGCTGATCGATGCGTCTCTGGGGACCAGAGTTCTGCCGCGGCGGGGCTGAGCCACCTGTGGGGGGGGGGGGGGGGACAGCGGTCACATGACACGGCAGTCCTGAAACCCTGACTGGCAGCAGAGCGGCTGTTACCTGTGAGCGTGTCGGTGAGAGACAGAGCTCGTCGGGAATATTCCTCGCCGCTGCTGCTGCTGGACATGGCCGACATCCTCTCCCCCCTCTCCCCCCCTCCTACACCCACAGACATCTGGGTGAGAAAAGCCGGCTTGGTGGCCATGCTGCTCCTGTCCTCACAGTTTCCCTGGGAACCCACCGAGCCGTCCGAGGGCGTGGCCTCAGCCTGCTGCGGCTGCCGGGGGGACGTGGCGGTCATGTGGTAGACGGGGTTCTGGAAGGAAAGCGGGAGGAGACCCGTCCTGCGCTGCCATTGTCCGTCCTCCAGCCCGTCGCTGGGAGACGAGTCCTGCAGGTCCACCAGAGAGCGGCTGCGGCTCTCGCTGGTCAGCTCGGCGCCGTCTCTGCGGCTCCCGTTGGACAAATCGTAGCCGGCTTCGTTCTCGTTGGGTTCAGAGTAGGAGGAGCTTGGAGCTGGAGATCCTCGGAGACCTTCAGGGAACGACTCCATGTCAGGTTCAGACATCAGAACAAAGCCTCAGGAGGAAGGTTAAGGCTTACCTGATGCAGGCTGCAAGCTGGATCCTTTGGTGACGAAGAACAGATCTTTGTTCTCTGGAGTCGGTGACGGAAGTCTGGTGAAATCCACACAGCTGCATGGAGACAGGAAGGAAACCAGCAACCGTCAGAACCAGACACTAAAACACAGCCTCACAATCAGCTACATCTACGCCAAAACCAGATAATCCAGGTCTAGATAATCCGAGTCTAGATAATCCGGGTCCAGATAATCCAGGTCTAGATAATCCGGGTCTAGATAATCCGGGTCTAGATAATCCGAGTCTAGATAATCCGAGTCTAGATAATCCGGGTCTAGATAATCCGGGTCTAGATAATCCGGGTCTAGATAATCCGGGTCTAGATAATCCGGGTCAGGCTGCCTTAGAACTGAACCTGTTCTGTATTGCTTCAATAATCCAAATGATTGGTCCCCCATTGGACAGATCATAACTTCAAATATTCAAGTTTAAACTTAAGTTTAATTTTAGACTCAAACTAATTTAGTTTAATCTCCAGAGCAGGTCTGTTAAACACCCAGAGGGTGAGGAAGTCTCATGTTGCCCTTTTAATTATAGAAGCAGCGGGACTGACCCTCCATCCAGTCCCACCCCACCCTGCAGGCCAACCGAGGGATTACAGGCAGCCAGAGGCGGAGACAGGGGGGGTGAGAGGGGGGGCGGAGACATGGGGGGTGGGGACACCACCCTCTGAGGCTCTGGAGAGGAAATGGACGCTCCCCCCACTCCAACTATGCCTCCAGGGTGGACGAGGGCGGCCGACACGTCTCTGAGGATCCGGGGAAGCGGACCGAGTTTGGACAGACAGGCCTGCAGACAGAAGCAGAGACAGATGGTGGAACGTGGTCCAATCAGAGCTAGCCGTCCGTTCCAAGCCGATCAGCCATGTCCAGGTGAGTTACCTGGTCAAGCTCGGTCAGCAGAGTGTGTAGGCTGCTCAGCTCCCTGCCCAGGTCGATGTAGCCATCGAAGCCGGCGGTGTGGTTCAGGCCGTCAGGGTTGGAGATCTCCTGCAGGAAGCGCTGCATGCTGCTCCACTGGCGCTCCACAAAGTCATTCATGAACAGCATGTACTCCTCCTTAGTGCCGAACCTGGAGCCACGGGTGAGACAGGTGAGACTAAGACAGGTGAGTACGCTCAACGCCACATCTCAGACCCCCCCCCCCAGCCCTGTACCCTTCAAATTAAAAGCATCCTCTCCACTGAGAGCCCAGACCTACTTGCTGAAGTTGGCGAGGTTCTGGATGACTTTGGCGATCAGGGTGAGGGTTCTGGCCGTGCGTTCGTCGGGGTACTCTTGTGTGAGGTCAAACAGTGATGGTGACATCACAGCTGGACACAGGAAGCGGAGGAACAACGAGGCGCTGATGAGCCGCTCACTGATATCTGGTCGCCCCCGGTTACTGCACTCCTGACGCCACGACGCAAACACCTCCTTAAGCTCCCGTGGGAAGACCCTGAGTGGGCGGAGCAAGTATGCCAGTCAGGTGAGCAGAGCAGGCATGTGGGCGTTGCCAGGCCGCCTGCTCCTGTGCTCACCTGTAGGAGTCCAGGATCTTGCAGAAGGCCAGTTCGCAGCACATCCTCAGGTTGGCCTGATGTTCCGCCAGGTCGGAGGCTGCACAGCGAGACGGGTCCACCTCACAGTTCTCATCAGACTCGTAGAGAGCTTTGATAAATTCACCTGAAAGAACAAACACTGGTTCAAACAACCTCGCCTGAACGCAGCGCATCAACAGCTCGCATTAGGGTGCTGGTACCAAGGGCGTCCTGCAGGTACTTCTGTCCAATCAGTTTCAGGTATTCCTCAATACTTTTAGTGGCCAGCGTGTTCTCTCTGAAGATCAGGTGATCATTGTCACGGCAACGGTCCACCTCAGACATCATCAGATCTGTCAGGAAGTCCTAAAGAGGTCAGAGAAGGTCAGATGGAGGTGGTGGTGGTGGGGGGTGGATACAGGATGTGGGTGAAGCTACCTTGGCCTTTCCCGTGCTGTGCAGGATGTGAACCAGAGCCGCAGCGAGCTCCTCCTTGGCCCTCAGGCTGATGGAGGCCTCCAGGGTGGAGCAGAGCAGCAGGTAGTTGGCGCTGATGTACTCTGCAAATTCTTTGTACTGCTCCATCGGCAGGATGATGATACTCTGATAGCGAGCTTTGACCCGGACTGTCGGAACCGACGACTTGGCTAAGAGCACAGGAAGGCGTTAACGTCACCGAGCAGTTTAGTAAAACATCTGGAAACAGCAGCCCTGAGGATCATAGAGCAGTTTGAGGTAGAGAGGACCTGGTTCCATCAAACCCTTCAGGATTCATCAAACCAGGAATCCCTCTAGCTTTCTGGAATCCAGAGATGGTAGCTGAACAACCTCAGAGAGCTGAAATAAGATGGCTACCAGACTAAGAACTACAGACTGCCCTAAACCAGGCTCAGGTAAGTGTTGGTCTGCGTACCTCGCAGCGTACTGGGCGTGCTCACAGAGTACCACTTCTCCACCAGCTGCCTGCCTGTTACCGTGACAGCGGGGATGTTGACCAGGCCCACATAGCTGCTCTTGTCTTTCTTCCTTTTGCGGTCCGTGTCCTTATACAAGTGGAGCGTGATGGACGAGACGGAGGGCAGGCTGCTGAAGTCGAAGCGCTCGCCCCAGAAAATGTTGTCCGTCTTCAGCTTGCAGGAGGTCCGAGCATACAGGCTGTCATCCAGACACAGCTCGCAGAAGTACCTGCAGTATGACATGCATTAGGTCCAGCTCAGAGTCACCATGACCCTCCTACACCACCACAGACTGACCTTTTCTTAGCTGGCAGGTCTTTGGCCTCAATCACCCACACCGTCAGCACGTTCTCCAGCCGCCGACTGTTGTCCTTGTTGGGGTGGACGGCTCGCCGAAGGTTCTCCATCCATTTGTCGCGTTCTGCCGCCGAGCGACACGAGAAGCACTTGGTGCCTGTGGAGGTGGTGACCTGGTTGACAGAGAGAAGGTGATCAGAGTACTACAGCAGTACCACAGGTGTACTACACTAGGTACAGTAGTGTTCTGTTGGAGTACTACAGCAGTACTACAGGGATCACCTCGAAGCAGTAGTCCTGTCCCAGTAGGGAGGAGTGAACGGGTTTGATGATCACTGATTGGTCCATTCTGAGCTCCAGAGATGATACGCAGCCGGTGCTTAGCAACGACTCCTGGCTACCGCAGCGCAGCCGCCGCATCACACACCTGAAAAACAGACAGCTGGTAAAAGTTCACCGTATCGCTGAACTGCAGGT